CTTCCAAGTGTGGATTCCCCCCACCCCCTCCCAGAGATTCTAATTTTTTAGGTCAGTGCTGAGGCTTGGGTATCTGCTTTTAATCATGGGTAATTTTTTAAATTGAATTTATTGGAGTGACACTGGTTAACAAAATTATACAGGTTTCAGGTGCACAATTCTACAACACTTCATCTGAAACTGTACTCTGTGTTCACCCCCGGGCCCCCAGTCACCACACTGTTGTCCGTGTCCATAAACATCATGAATAATTTTGATGGATCCTAAAACTTGAGAATGAAATTTTTTTAATAAATGAGAACTATATAAACAAAAAATATTGTCATGTGTCTTCTTTTAGCTATTCTCTATCAGAACGGGTATTGAGTATCATGCAGATTAAGTGGAGCCCCTTCCCAGATTTGGAAATTGGCCTGTCCTTGGTTTTCTTCATCTATAAAATGAACTTACTTTATTGTGATTGTCATGAAGTTTCAGTTATATATATATAGAAGATGACATAGCACTTAGCAAGGCTACTATTTTGTAATCTTGATAGAACCAGGTTTAGTTTCCTTAGGAAACCAGATTTTAAAACTTGACAGTATAACCTTGTTTGGCAGAGATTGATAAAATGAAATTCTATTAGAGTATTAACACTCTAATATATATATGTATACGTGTGTGTGTGTATACATATATATTCACACATATATATATTCATGTCTCTTCTAGTTGCTTTTCCCACTCTTCCTCCTTGAGAACAGCTCACACTATACTCATCAGGAAAATAAAACCTGAACTTCTGATTCATGAAAGTTTTGTAGAACAGGATATATTCCAGAAAGACAGGTTACCACGGGGCCAAGATGAAGTTTATTCTCAATTTAGAAAGCTGGTTTAGAATCCTATGTCCTATATCCATAAAATGTGGATAAAATAAGGATATCCACAAAACTAATTGAATCGATTTCTTCAGGGGAGAGGTGTTGAGCAACAGGAGAACAGAGGTAAAAGGAAGAATTCTCACTCTATACTCTTGTGCCTTTTTTATTTTGAACCATGTGGCTATCCAAAATATAAAAAAAGAATCCAATTCACTAATTTCAAGTCTATGAGGTATTCAAAGTTCTTTCAACACTGATAAAAAATGATTACACCCTCAAAACTTATGAAAAAGATGCTGGTCCGTGGTATTGAGCAATTTATAGTGATCTGAGAGCTTCACTAAGCTGAACAGTGCTAGGCAGAACTCTTAGCTAATTAATCTTCTTCAGCTCTTTGCCAGGCCTCTCATCCATGTTTTTTCCCCCCACATTCCTTCCCAGACTCAAACTACAAGGACCTTTTAACTATGATATAGGGAAAGAGAAAGCAAGAATACTGTGTTGGAGCCCTGGCTGGTGTGGTTCAGTTGGTTGAGCATTGCCCCATGCACCGAGAAGCCACCAGTTCGATTCCCAGTCAGGGCACATGCCTGGATCTCAGGCTTGATTCCCAGTAGGGGGCATGCAGGAGGCAACCAATGGATGTG